TCCAATTCTGATCCAGTGTCCACCAAGACAAAAAAAACTGAAAATATGAAATTCTTCTCCATCAAACTCCAATTAAGGAAAATCCACATACAAAAGATGTTGAAAGTCTAATAGATTCTACGGCCACACACTTCTGAAACATTACGAGAAAGGAGAAGTGCTTGGCTAGAGAAGGTGTTTGAAGTCGGATGTTTTTGAGTTCAGAAAGGAAAGAAGATATATAACATGTAGAGACTGGCTAACTCCTGCTAAACTTCTAGAAAAATATATTTTAGTTTGGTAATCATCTGTTGGTAAAAACATATTCCCCAAAAACGTAAACATACCGCTAATCATTGATTTATTCCTCATTGTTAATCATATACCAACAAGTCAGTTCAGGCCGGTCAAGCAAAATTTGAAGATGATTTTTCTCTTCTTTTTGGGTTTATAATTCCAAATTTGCAGTAACTAATGACAGTCAGCTTGGTAATTGATCCTGAATGGGATCGTCTATTCTTATCTACACATGATTTGAAATTTTGAAGTTCGGCAATCCTCCGGTAATTCATTAGCACAACCTCTACTCCGAAATATATTGTGAATTCACAGCTCTAACCTAGGCAGGACTTGCCAGTTGATCGTGCCAACAATTTTAGACATCAACTATGCTCAGATTAAGATCTCATCTGTGTCACAATTAGACCTACAACTAAAGTCAAAAATTACCAAATCAATCAAAGTAGAACGAGCACATCAAGATAAAAAGATCCATTACTTTACATATTTATAATCATAAATTTAAGAATGCAACAAATTACCTTTTGGCACGTTTAGGATCAATGCTCCACAACTCAGCAAGCTTATCAGGAGCCATGGCTTTCTTGGCTTCAATAATACTTTCAGAAAACACGAAACTCGAACCATCCTCCGAGTTACTATGCCTATGCCTCGGCCTAGCAACACCACGGCCACTCTTCTCTTCGCCGCCGTCAGCTGACACCCCACCACCAGAACCACCCCTTCCACTACCCACATTATCGAAAACATAGTCATTAATCTCAGATCCACCTCCAGCGCTGAGCTTCTCCATATTTATATAAGTTGAAAACAGATCGTCCTCCGATCCCATCTCCTCCACACTTCCTACCGGAGCGTCGAAAGGGTCCGACACCAGATCTAGATTCTCCGGTAGCCGGTAATTCACCTCAGAATGCGCTCTTCGGTGATGGGCCGGCCTCGTTGCTCCCGAAAAAGACGGCATCTGATTCAACGAATACTTAGAGTTTGGATCTTGCATTTTCCAAATAAAAACCAACCAGTCCCAGCAGTTTTCTTGCAGTATGAAATTGAACAGTGAAGACAAACGGGATTTAACTGTCTTCCGAATTCTCTTACGTAGCTAGAACAGGTTGACGAGAAATCTATGTTTTGTTACTGGGTGATTTTTTGAAGGAGTCCATGCGGGTCTAATGATTTCATTGTGTGCGGCAATTTGTGGGATCGAATGGCCCATGAATGATAACCATGTCATGTCACGGAGGACTTGTGCAATACTTCATGTTACTTGTGCCTACACATTGCAAAGCAAGGATTCCATGGCCAAGTTAGGGATGACAAAAAAATCATCAAATTTGATATTCGTGGGGCCATCCCCATTACCCGCTTAAC